TATATAAAAATAAAAGTCACATATATAAAAATAAAAGTCACATATATAAAAATAAAAGTCACATATATAAAAATAAAAGTCACATATATAAAAATAAAAGTGAAAAAACCCCAAAATGTTTAACTCCCCCACGTTTACGCACCTATAAACGTAAATACGCGCCCGGTGCCCCAGCGCGCAAAAACGACAATTGCGCTACACATGTTACATATCGCCGCGAACGTCGCAGTGAGAGCAATCATTTTAGGGCCATCAATCACTGATAACACTAAACTGATGAGCGGTAAAAGCTTTTAAAGCGTCGCCTATGGCCAATTTTGGGTATTATCGTTTTTTGAGGTTTCGCACGTGCACGCAATTTTAAGGCTTGACAGGTTTGGTGTCTTTTTACCCGACGTGACCCCGTCTTTTATATTTTACCAAAAACTTGGGTAATAATAAATGTTTTATCATTTAATATAGGGGAAACTGTTTTGTTTTGGTTTTTAAATTTCGGTAATTTTTCCTTTTTAATATAGTAAAAAATAAAAACCCCCAGTGGTGAATAAATACCACCAAAAGAAAGCTCTATCTGTCCCCAAAAAATGGTATAAAATTAATTTCAGTACAGCGCTACATGACGGAATAAATGTCAGTCAAAGTAATGCAGCGCTGAATACTGAAAAATGGCCTGGATGGGAAGGGGGTTTAACACCGCGGATGTCAACTGGTTAAAACGAGGTGTACATGATTGCAGGGATGTATACTGGAGCGCCCACTTTCATGTGTACTGTATCTTTGCAGGAAGCTGCTGATAGCCACAGTCAGGGAGAGCGAAGTGGGAGCTGAACACATTAAATCAGGGGTAGCCAAACTGCGGCCCTCCAGCTGTGATGAAACTACAAGTCCCATTAAGCATTGCAAGTCTGACAGCCACAGGCATGGCCTACTGAGGCAGATGCATGATAGTATTTGTAGTTTCCCCACAGCTGGAGGGCCACAGTTTGGCTACTTCTGCATTTAATAGTGATGTCGAGCACTGGTAACACTAATGTTCATCAAAGCAATGACAGGCAAACGCTACATAGTCATAGAAAAAAAAAATGTCTGACCCGTGCTGTTCAAATGTATGCAAACAATGAACTTGTAGTCAGAATTCCTGATCTCGAAGCTTGTTGTGCATCAGCAACTCAAAGTACACAATGAATGAGTCCTGAAAACCAGATCACCTCGATAAACATTCAGACGTTGGACTGCAGAGCGATATACAAGTGACATTCAGCAAGCTCATGAGATGCATGCACTGACTCTGCTAGAAATAATGGAATTGATGGCAGGAAATGCATCTCTTGTGTCTTTTGCATGTAGGCAATCGAACCCTGCATGAGCAATAAAAACAGCTATCCAATGAACATGTTTGTTTTCACGTATTCGAGTTCCAGCATTCCTTGTGACCTTTACAGATCATTATGTGAATGTGCTGCTGACACAAGGTATTAGATTGTTACTGCTGTGTGGAAGATTTGACATGTGGTGTTCTGCATTGCTATATATATATATATATATTTTTTTTTTTAAATAATGAGAAATTGCGGTTTCTGTCTTTTAGGAACAAGCCAAGCAACTCAGAAAGAGGAACTGGGAAGCTCTGAAGAATATATTGGACAATATGGCCAACGTAACCTATTGTACAACATGGTCAGAAGCACAGCAGTACCTCATGGACAACCCTACTTTTGCTGAAGATGAGGAACTTCAAAGTGTGTATTGGTTTACTATAATCACATGATGAACTGGATCAGGGGGACTTCACCCTCGTCCAGATTTCCTGTAAATTGCCAGCAGACCAGTTGTATTCAGATTTCAGTTTTAATGTATGTGTTTCTTCGTTTTTGTTTTCGGTTTTTTTCTGTCTAGCACAAACCGATTTATGGCCACAAAGTTCATGCATTTTAGATACTATGTATACAATACGTGGTCTGTTTTGCCTTCCTAATATTGTTCTCATTTTAAAATGAAGTTGGGGTCAGTATTGGTTGGCATTGTAGTGTAGGTGGGAGTTGTAAGGCTGGCTTTTACTTGACAGTAAAGCATTTACTAATGTACTCCTATGACTCAGTCAACATAAAGGAGGCTAATGAATGCTATCAGCCGACAGCGTAGAACTGTCTGGATCCACCCCGGCTGCCTAATTGACAGCTGGTTCTGCCTCTGTGCACGGCTGAGAGCCAGCTGTACCAGTCCCCTCTTTCTGTAGCTCCTGTGAGCATTCAAGGTGCAAAGAGCCTCTAGCCTGCTGGGCTAGGAATCCCTGCTGGGCTAGTAACTGACAGTCCCTGCTCTCTACAGGAAGAAGAGACTGAGAGCTGAGCAATCAGAAGTTACTTGATCACTCAGCTCTCAGTTTAGAGCCAGCATTGTGACAGCTGCATTGTTCCATATTGGCTCTAAGCAGCAGGTAGAGTATATTTGACTTTTCCCATATCTTTTAATAGTGACCAGCACAGACTCAGCCCTCCATCTTCTTTTTGTAGGTACTTTGTTAGGCCATTAGGCAGTGTACTCAAGTACAATTTGATTGCTGTGAATTACTCATCTCCATTAACCTCTTGCCGTCCGCCCGTAGTAAAAAAACGGACGGAGATTATTCAGTATTGCAAATGCAACCTTTTTGGATGACTGTGTACACCAAGATCAGATCAGTGCATGATACTTGGAAAATGTAATATTTGACTGTTCTTTCACCAGCAGTATAAGAACTTTTTTTACAATACACACGGGCATGGAAATCAGAAACTACTAACAAATACTCATTTACCTTTGATATACTTCTCATATTGCAGTGCGCCTTATAAAATAAACATTTTATTTTGCATTTTCACAGATATGGATAAGGAAGATGCCTTAATATGTTTTGAAGAGCATATTCGGGCTTTGGAAAAAGAAGAGGAGGAGGAGAAGCAAAAAACTTTACTAAGAGAAAGACGTCGGCAACGGAAGAATCGAGAATCTTTCCAGGTTAACCCCTTCTCCTTTTATTATTCATTGGGGAATACAGTGTGACTTATTGTGTACATGATCTTCCTATAGAAAGCTATGAATTAAAGTTCTTTCCTTATGGGCTTTAATCTTGCAAGGGGCTTTTTAATATTGGCTTAGTGACACTAGGGGCATTTTTGTGTTTTTGTTTTTTTTTTAATTCTTTTTGAGTAAACATTTTACAGTAAACATATAACACATATACATTTGATTAATGATATCGTACAGGTACAAACGTAGGAAGCATGTCTATTTCCCCAAGTCGCTTAATTAGTCAAGGATCAAGCGGGAGCAGCATAATATCTTATGCAGCGTCCGGGGTAATTGCAATGCACATCAGACATGTCTTAGTGTGTAATAGGCAATAATTTTGATAGACGATAGTGTGTGAACCAAGGGGTCCACCTGTTTGCTTCCGTGGATTGAGGGGAGGGGAGGACATCAGACAACAGCAGGACAGAGGAGGGAAGAGGGGGGACTTTTATAAATGAGAGGAAGGGAGGGCAGTACCAGCAAGCTAGTGTGTAAGAGAAGGTATAGGTCACTGGGACATGGTCGGGCTTGCCTAGAGGGTCACTCACGGAGCGCTCCCTAGTAGGCCAATGGAAGGAGGAGTATCATACAGAGTGCGCTCGCCCTTCAGGGGAATCCATGTACTCCAGCCAGTAAAACCACGTCCTAGAGTAACGCTCCTGCCTGCCCCGAGAAGACATGATCATGTCTTCCATCACCACTAGGGGCATTTTGAGCTTTTTATATGAGGAATTTTTCAGGATCGAAATGGGGGGGGCTGTCTTGCCATTGCTAACCTGCAGTCTTTGCTGAATTCCAGCTTGGTGATTTGCCCAAGTAGTACAAGAATTGTAATGATATTCCTCGAGCCTACAGCTTTCAATGCAAGTCAGCTATAGCAGCTTACATTTCATCTTAATGGCTAGAATATCTGTTGATGGCAATAATATTGTTTTTATTCTTGTGGATTTTGTTGTTTTTAGGTGTTTTTAGATGAATTACATGAACATGGTCAGTTACATTCCATGTCGTCTTGGATGGAGCTGTACCCTACAGTCAGTTCCGACATCCGTTTTGCCAACATGCTTGGTCAGCCAGGTAATTACTTTCTAGTGTTTAGCTCCAAAATGTTCATGCATATTCTGATTGTTCACAAGAAACCTAAAGGTATAAACCCGAACTACAGGAGGTGGGACACAAACACAACTGTTTGTATGCAGTAACTAGCCTCTTGGCACCTTTAAGAAAGTAGAAAAGTAGATCCTGTACTGTGGTCTTAAGCTAGTTTGTATTTGCTAGTTTCGCAAAATAATTTTGAAGACTTGTTCCATAGAAGTTGCAAATTGATTTCTGGTGCACTGTTTTAAAAAAAAAAAACTGTTTTATGGACTTGGAATGTTTATAATGAAGATAGCTTATTGATGAGCAATGTTGTTCAACTTACAGCTGACTGCCTACCCTGTCACCCCCTAGAAGACTAAGGCAAGTTGACATTTTAGGGCCCTTTTACACTTTGCTGTTCTGCTGCATTGCTCATCGTGCTGTAGTGCGGTGCATTAAGGCAGCCAATTCAGTTGAATATGTTGCCAGTACACCACTACAGGAAAAATACAATATGCAGCTTTTTTTCCAATTCAGCATAGTACAACAAACTATTGCATTACTGTGCATCACTGTCCCCTGCAACACATGCACTTTAGAGTTGCGTTGTCTTAGTACATTGGTGTGCCATTCAAAATGAAGGGCACTGCAACCTGATCACGCATAGTGTATTGTGGTAACGTGCTTATTATCACAACACACTTGGACAGAGAAGTGTAAATGAGCCATTAAGGTCTACAAAGGTGGCTAAGTTAAGGTGGCCATAAACACAATAGGTATTTGCCAGCCCCTGTCAGAATACTAAGGAAACCAGCAGGGGTTTCCTTTATCAATGTGTTTGTAGCATTGATAAAGGAATCGGCACTATTATCTTTTGTTCAGCCTGCGGGTTGAATGTGAAAAATAGAGCAGTGTAGATCAGTAGGCCCCAGGGTAGAAGTAGTGGATGTTGCAGCCGGCCCCGGGGTAAAGGGGCAGATCATTAACTCAGGAGAGTGTAGGGTTCTGTATATTGGGGGGGGGGTAGCGCATTAGAAATGGCATGCAACACTTCCACTTCCTTCTGCACAGTAAGTTGTGGCCTGCACATTTGCAGTCTAAGTACTCAATACTGCCAACTCTGCAAGTTCCACGGATTGCCAAGAAAAGTAATTTTAATAGGTCTAAGATTTTAAGAGTAGCCATTTCATATATACCAACTTTTGGATGTTTTAAGTTTTGTGTTTTTTTTTTTGCCCCTTTTGAGAATAATTTGTCATTTATTGTTTTTCTATTAGCCATCTAATGTTTAATATATGATTTCTCTCCCGTTCATTGAAGGACACAGGCAACAGATAATTCCCAGGAGACCCGATCGAAGGCCTTTTCGGCATCGGTATAGAGAAAGAGGCAAGGTGTGTTGGATGTCGCCGCATAATGAACCAGATGGCACGTCTTGATGGTGTTATCACGAGCTTCCCTAGCTGGGATAAACCCAACCTGGTCATAGTGTATCAGGTCAGGCATATAAGGGCTCAGTCTGGTCGCTAATATTTTGGTGAATAGCTTCAGGTCGGTGTTCAGAAGAGATATAGGACGGTAGCTGCTACAAGAGGAGGGATCTTTGCCCTCTTTTGACACTGAGATATGGGCAGACAGAGAGTCTCTAGTCAGCCGAGAAGTGGATGACAGGGCGTTGAAAGCCTTTGTAAAGCGGCCTACCAGTTCCGCGGTCAAAAGTTTGTAGTATTGAGTTGTGAAGCCATCGGGGCCAGGTGATTTCCCTGTCTTTGTGGATTTAAGAGC